ACCCTGGCTATAAATACTAAAATATTATCAAGAAATCTAATCAGAAAAAAATGCATAATTCATCAGACTGAAGAGTTGTGCATAAAACTTTAGACAGAAATGTGCCCCCAAACATAATTACACTAAAAATATATCTCCCATTACTTTCATGTACTGAGACAGAACAAGTAATTAGCAAGCCCATTCAGATTGCATGGCAGGTCATACTTAGAAGCCAGTATGCATGGTGAGTTATAAGGTTACACAGAGGAAGACCTCATTAATAAAAGCAATTAAGAAAAGGAACAATTTCTTATGCACATACTCAGATAAGATGTGTTCCCCTTTTCAGACACACATTTATTAACTTTCTGAGCTTTAAATTATGGATAAGCAGGAAATTACTACATTTATATTGGTCACACAGGAAATTGATATATTTGGACTTCAGACTCGAGCGAATTGGCATGTTGGCTACAGCACTATGAGATGGGCTATCCCAGTGTCTTTATTCACAATCACTTTTGTTTGTTTGTTTGTTTGTTTTGTTTTACCTGCAACCCTTTAGTTCCAAGGCAAGTGCTAAACCACAACAACTCTGGTGCCTAGTTTTTTTTTGTTTTTTTTTTTCATTTCTGAATGAAGGATTGCCCATTTCCCCTCTTCTTTTTACAATAGATGTAAATTAAGATGTATTAATTGATGTATTATTTTTTGTTTGTTCATTATGAGACAAACATTATTGTGAACAAACTAAATGGTTCTTAGCACAAACAAGTGTTTTACATTTTTATAACATCCCACAATATTCAATTAAATTTATTATAACAAACATGTCAAAGTCAGGCCCAGGGGCCAAATTTGGCCTGCAATATAATTATATTTGGCCCATGAAATCACATCAAATATGTATGAGAGCTGAAAATGTTATTATTTTATATTATGCTTGTTCTGGATTCAGTGTTTAAGCAAAACTATTATCAAACATTTATTTTAATACGAAAAGGTTTAACATTACATATCTTGAAAGAAGATGCAGTAGTCCCAGTTTTTAATTTTGGCCCTCTGTGAATTTGAGTTTGACACCCCTGTATTATAATAACAGACAAGCAGATTAACCTAACATTCAACAAAAATATAACACATATCCTCTTCAGAACATTTACATAATTTCCAGGTGCATTAATGAACTATTCCCCCCATTTTTTTTTTTTCCATTGCACATTTAAAGGGCCCATATTACACTATTTTCTAATCTTCGTTATAATACTGTTTTCTCATCACAAACATACCTGGAGTTGTTTTGTTTCATTCACGCATGTCTAACACACAAACCCTGCACGTTAAGGCTGAGTTCTTCTCTCAGACTGAAAACACTCTGTTCCACCTTGTGATGTCATGTGGTCGTGAACAGGAAGTGCTCCACTGTGTTTTTAAAAGCCGTACACCTTCATAAGAATCAGCTGGATGATTTCAGACCTGAACTAAAAGTAAAATGTAGCTATTAACTTAAAAACTACTGGAGATGTAGACAGGCTAATAATAAAGGATTACTCAAATATGTGTGAGTGAAACAAAATTCAGCTCCGGGTATGTTTTTGATGAGATAACAACATTATAACATCACTTCATAAGAGTCAATTTCAGATAATATAGGACCTTTAAATGTACCATTCCCATTCTTTATGCCTCTATAAATGACTGATTCATATTTGGCATTTAATTTTCTCATATGGTGGAACGAAAAATAGCTGCAGACCTTCTGATGAACGTTGCATTTCATTATATTACAATTGACAAAAATCCAACCAAGTGGTGTAAAAACATGCCGTGTAGGATCCATCAGGATAATTACTGTTTTGACCGCAGAGAAGCCCCCTGTCATCAGAGGAGCAGTTAAATTAGTCTCAGTGGGATTCACACATTTCCTGCCAGCACCTGTCAACACCTGTCACTGGACCATCACCTCAAAACAGAAAGCCATAACACAATCGCAGGTACACCGGAACCTTGTGAGAAAAAAAAAAAAAAAGGACTGTATTCTTGACAATTCTGTTGTTCACCATTTGTCCATTTGTAAGGTCCATATTATGCTTTTTTATAATGTTGTTTCCTCATCACAGATATACTAATACAAAGTTGAATGAAATGACCTTCTTAATAACAAAACCAAGTAGTAAAGGTTCAGTTTAAGGTATTGCAGTTTTAAGATAACAGAAAATTATTTGTGAAGGTATAAATCCGATATTTTATTGTTGCTTGTCTCACACACACACTCCAGTAATACCTGGAGTTGTGTTTTGTCTCATTTTCACATGTTTAGCACAAATTCTGCATGTTTATTCCGAGTTCTTGTTTCAAACAGAAAACACTCTGTTCCACTTTGTGATGAGATGCTGTAATACAGGAAGTTCTCCACTGTGTTTAAAACTCCATACACCTTCACTAGTATCATTTGGGTCATTTCAGCCCTGGAATTGGTAAACACTTCATGAAATCACAAAGTGGAACAGAGCATTTTGAGCTTTGGAGATGCAGACGAACTAATAAAAAAGGGTTTCTCAAACATGTGTGAGTGAAACAAAACACAGGTAATGTTTTTGAGGAAGCTCACAAGATTCAATTTTGTGTAATGTAAGACCTTTAAATTTTAACTGTGTTTTTAAGTAGTTTGGCATTTGATTTATCTTCTGTTCCACCAAATGATGTCATGAAGTGGTGCTCCTCTGCGTTTGTGTTTGAGTTTGACACCTGGTACAATGTAAACTTGGTCATTAACTATAGCAGTTATTGTTGTTAGTCTTGTTTAATCAGCCTCACTCCTCTTTTGTGGTGTTTTAAACTTCTAAAAACTATAACATTTTTATAATCCTACATGACATTGAGTAGATGTCTTGTATAGCATGGTAGGCCTGGTACATGGACTCAAAATCTAACTTCAAGTAACTAAAAATCTAACTTCAAGTAACTAAAGCTGACCAGTTATTCTGATTAATATGTCTTCTATGAGTTGTAAAAAATGAAATATCAACTCCATGGCGCTTAAAAACTTACCCTGAAAAGCCTGATAAATAAAGCTCTTTTTGGGTTTGCCCTTTTAAGAGGATTGAGACACGAAGTCAGATTTGTTGAAGAGGTTACATGTTTAAATCCATGTCTGATGTAACACTATTTTTCATATTTTCACACCATGATCCTGGGTTTTAGGTCACACATAGATTAGAATTTTGGAATGGGAGATTTTCATGTTCAGGATTCTGGATGAGAGAAATAAGAGATAAAATAGCAGTGACATGTGTGCATTCAAAAAACTCTTATTAATCTATTATACAAGCAAATGGGTGAAATTTTAAGAGTGTAATGTATCAGACTTTTAGCATAGTCCCTCACTTTTTTATCTGAAGTCACCTTTATTTTTAAATATTCTCCCAAACTTGCTAAAAGCTTTGTTTCTCCAGACAGTTAAATCCAGGACACTTTCTGCCCTGAGGTGGTGACGGCGGTTGGCAGGACCCAGCATTCACCTTTCCAAACAGACCAAACCAGGATAGACTGAAGTGGGTCAAGGGGTGCTCCGGGGGGCTACAAACCTGATTCTGTGAAGTGACAAGAGCCCACCTCATGTATCTCAAGGGGTTATTCTAAATAAATACATACACAAATGTCAAAAGTCATTAAGGCTACTCACTCTCTGGAGGTGGTCCTTAAGAGAGAGTGAAGACAGGAGGATTTTTTTGAACAAACGAGAAACGACCTCTTGTATATAGCTGAGATATATTTGTATCACTATATTTTTTGTTTTATTTTTACCTGTCCATATACATTTATATAATTATGCCCTCTTTGAAACCAGTCTCTTGCTATTTCTGCTACTTATTTTTAATTTATTAGTACCATTTATATTTTTGCGCTATATCATTTTAATATATTGTGATGTGTGAGCAAAGATCAGTCAGTAAAGATGGTCTAAGTCTAAGAAATATGGACGAGCTATAGACAGAGACCTCAAAAAAATCAAATACATTCTGAGATTTAAGGTGATTTTGATCAGACTATAACTCATATAGCATCAGCGGCTGTTGTAGAATAAACTGTAGTATCCTGAAAGTTGATAAGAGGAAGCATGACACTGGAGTTCTTCTAACACAGGAGAAGTTTATTTATCATCTGTACAGGACCCATCACCTGGAGCACAGAAATTTTATTTCTCTAACCCTGCTCACAGAAAACCCATATTTTCTGTTTTTGGTGATTCATTCATGCTTATTTGTGTCACACATCTCTCATTTTTTTCTCTTGAATTTTCTGGTATCTTTACTTCAAAATCTACCTGAATTGGTGTTAACTGCTGTTGATTCAGCAAAAATGTTGTTCAGTTCATTTTGTCTTTTTGGTTTTCTTTTGTACCATGTTCCTGGTCCTGGCTTTCTCTGATTAGTTAAAGGGACAGTCCAGAATTTTGGACATAGGACCTCATTTCCTAGTTAGCCAGAGTATTGGAGACGTGTGTAGATACTTTTTTAAATATTCCATGTCTCCAACACTCTGGCTAACTAGGAAATGAGGCCCTAAATCCAAAATCCGGACTGTCCCTTTAATCCACCTGTCAATCACACCAAACTATGCCTTGTATAGTATTAGAAAAGTATGTATGTCAGCTGGCCAGGGAGTAGACAGGTAGTTAAATTTGAAAACAAAATGTCTGTAAACAAAAACTAACGCTCAGTCGTCCATGTTATTATAACTTATAACTTATAACTATTGAAAGAAGTCATAATTTTTGCAATCAGACAATACTTACTTAAAGGTGCATTGCGTAATCTTCATGGAGACCAAACCAGATCATGTTACAGGTCATATCTGTGGAGAGGCAACCCTGCTTTTTCTAGGCATTTTTGAGCTATAAAAGCATTCCAGGCAGAGCAATGATATACCCATAGAAAAAAGCAGGTGACAGACCCCCAACCAAAAACTTACATAGTACATCTTTAATTCTAAATTACAAAAAGCAGTCCCTCCACATTTTCCCCACACCATGTAACAATATACATATTACATAACATGGAAGTTTGAGCAACATATATTCACAAACATGACTGACGTGGTTTGAAATACACAGAACAAAGCAATGACAGTATCAGGGTCATTGAAGCTGCATTATCATATTTATCATGGCCGCCTCTGAGCGCTTCTGCTGCTGAATGCTCCTCCAACCTCTCCATTTAAACACCACCTACTTATTCTGACGTGTGCGTTTTACTGTTGACATATTTCACACATGTATTTCCATATGAAACAGACACAGATGCCAAATGAAATGGTGGAAACAAAAGCACTGTAACCATAACAGGTCTTACTCCAGAGGTAAAAACAAGATTCATCGTTTAGTGCTTGAAAATAAAGCATGGAAACTTCTTGGCTAACATAAAAAAAAAGCTGCATGTCCTTGTGCAGCCATTGAAGTCACTGTGGATGTAGTAAACTATGAATTGTTTGTGGATCCTGGGGGTATCATAAAGAAATACTTTACAGAATGCTAAACTTTCAGTGCATTGTCTCTAAAGAGAATTGTTATGGAATGACCTTCTCAACAACAATACCAAATAATGTAGTGACATTTATAGTAGTAGAGGTAGAGGTCGGTAGAGGTCCATGTTATTGCAGTTTTAAGATGACAGAATTTTTTTTGTGAAACTATAAATTCCATATTGTATTATTACTTTGTCGCTCCCACACGCTCACATTCAGAACTATACTATACTGGTAATTAGAAATACTTTCATTTTAAGATAACCATGATGTCCCTGATCCATGTGTTATCTGTCTGTCTTTTAAAATTGCTGTGAAGTTAAACTTAAAAATGATGTTTTTTTCTGTATTAAAAATGAAATAAAAATGACTGACCTCTTTCATATTTTAGTTATAAGATTGAGAGTTAGAGAGATCTGCAAAGACTCCCAACCTGCCCTACATAAAATATGAAATTGTTTCCAGTGTGGTTGCAAATCCCTTCTTGCTTAGAAACCAAACAAAATCCCATTATTTCTGTTCTTTTTTACAATCTGTTAAATGGTGTCTTGCAGTCTTGACAAACTTGATTCATAATGTGCAATGAATTCTGACTGGACAAGGCCTGTTTTGTGTTTTCGTCTTCTCCCTCTATCTTCCCATACCTCCAAAAACCATGTGAGTCAGGTTGGCCCATAGAGGCAGTGTGCACAGTTGGCTCAGTAATCAGTAATTTTGATGTACTTGTATGTATAAGCACTTCACTTTACATTAAATACAACATATTAACAGGTTTAACTACCCAACAATGCAACAGAAAGGAATAAAACATCATCAGACAACTGAAAAAAGTACTTTTGAGATAACTATTTCCATTTAGCCACATCAAAATGATCAATGTAACTTAATATTTTTGACAACGTGAATAGCACACAGGTGTACGGCTACTTTTTCACTCTCCTCTCACCAATCACTTCATAAATTATATTGTTTTGGTTCAGTAAAGTCACTGTTATGAACACCAACTCAGTCTATATTTTACAGATGTTTTCACAGTGGATAGAATGAGTACATAAACAGTTTTCTTTCTGATTAAAAAGAAGTCTTTATTATTCCACATGAGTCGAGTCTGTGGAGGTCTGTCCCACTGTCCTAGATCCATTCTTCAGTATCCCTTCTGTCCCAGCATAACCTGGGGTCAAAACGGGACTTTTCGGCGCCCCATTTCTATCACACCCCTCCAACTGGGGCTCCAAAAATGCCACTCTCTTCCCATTGGCTCGTCTTTGCCCCTCCTCCACCTCTCTGGGATCTGAACAGACCACTATGGCCCGCCCGCCACAGCGCCACCCGTTTCTACCACACCGGCAAGGCGTCAGGTAGAGATATAACAACACCAAGATTATGCTAACCACGCAGGAGGCTAGTGTAGTGAAGGCTGTGTTGAAGTGTTCAGAGCTGCGGTCATGTTTGTCTTCAGAAGAGGTCAGACTTGAGTTTCCGACCATGATAGTAACTTCCAGAGATTCGCCTGATCCAAAATGGTGCCCACGGGAAACAACGCAGCTGTACGTACCGGAGTCCTCCATCTGGGCAGAGTGGATCTCTAGAGTGCCATTCAGGAGAACTGTGAAGCGCTGAGTTGGGTCTGGAAATGCATCAAGAAACAAAATTAAACAGTATCACTACTTTGAAATCAACATGAGTCTATAACATGGTAAAGATCCTATATTAATAATTATGTTGCTGCCTCCCCAAAACATACCTAGAGTTGTGTTGTATTTCATTCACACATGCTTAAGAATTATTAGTCTATCTACATCGCCAAAGCTCAAAGTGCTATGTCCCACCTTGTGATGTAATGTAGTGCTACCTTTTACCTTTAGTTCAGTATAGATTGGCAATTCCAGTGCTGAAATTATCCATATTATTCTAGCGAAGATGTATGGAGTTTAAAAACACAGTGGAGCACATCCTGTATTACCACATGACATCACAAGGTGGAACAGAGCGTTTTCTAAATACGCAACACAATAGGGGTATGTTTTTAAAACATATAAAATAGCATAATTTTTAAATGTTTAATTTGCAGGTCTGATTTACTCCTTACTGGGCTGAACTTAAACAAATAGAGCCAGGAAGGGCACCTGGTATATAAAACAATATTTATAAAATCAAAATGCAAATAACTCCACCAATACTGAAAAACAAAAAATGAAGAAAAAAGATGACCTATCATGAAATGATTTTAAAATTACTTTTATTTTTTATATTTGAAATGTACATGTATGTACAAAAAAGTTTATTAAAGCATATAGATAAATAAATAAATAAAAGAAAGAAAGGTTGAAAAGGAACCTGTGTCAGATTCTGTACTGAATTTAAGATTTATCCTTTGTTTGTCCTATTTGTCATTTTGGGTTTGGTGCTCATAGAGAGCAATTATATGAGAGTCACAAATTAGCATGAAACACTAATTAACAACAGTGTGAGGGAGCTGTCTAATTACTGGTCCATACTCATCACAGTTTTAGGCTCGGCAGATCACAACCTGTGCCCCCTCCTATGACGCAGCCCAGTGTAACAGAACCATGTCCAAATGCACAATGTACCTTGACAGTCACTGATGCGCTATGACATATTTGGCCAACAGATGGGAAAAAAGTATAAACAAACATTTTTGAATAATTGGAGAAACTTTACTTTTCTTTCAGGTTTTTGGGCAGCAGTTACTCTGTATTCTGAGCACACCTACAACGAGGTATCATAAAACCTGAGTGATTATTGATCTTTCTTGCTTTGGCAATTGTGGAGGCCATCTTGTGATTGTAAAAGCAGCATTTTAGTGTGATTGAACATGACCTTTAGATTAAGTACAAATATAAAAAGCTAAATTATCAAATTATTTAAAATTTGTAATTAAAAAACCCAACTCCTTATTAGTTTGCATGAGTTGGTTACTTTACGTTACCATGGTGATGAGTTTTTTTCATTATACCTCATTGCGCATTCACCAACTCTAAATCTGACAGATCCAAGCTTCTACCAGTGCACCCACCTTTGCTTGAATTATACTCCGATGAATTCAACACTTTATGGGGTGTGACCCAGTAGACCAGCGCCCCCTCCTGGGCAGTTGAGATTCCTGGACATGGTACTGAAAGCTCTCTCCCGGGGTCCACCTGATACTCATAAACATCTTCTCCATCTTGTACGGTGGGATTTTCTTGTAGACTGCACTCAAACTCCCCTCCGTCTTTGCACCCCGACCCAAAATCTATGATGGGTCGGTACTGCTTCCATGTCCAATACTCCATCAGTGCTCGTACAGGGCAATCACAAACTAAAGGATTATCCTGCAAATAAATCTCACTTTTATCATGTAAAGAAAGTAACTTTTGTACTGGCAAGTGTGACAAATGATTGGCTGACAAATCTAAAAAAGTCAAATTCTTAGGTCCATTTTGCTGTTCATAAAGTTCAATAGGAAACTGTGTAAGCAAATTCCTTGAAAGGTATAGTCTTTGCAAATATAACAAGCTTCGAAATGTGTCTTTTTCTATGGTGGAAATCTGGTTCCCAAAGAGTAACAGTTCTTGAAGCTCTTTTAAGCTAGTAAACATGGCTGCGTTCAATACTGCGAGCTGATTGGATGATAGATCTAAATGGGTGAGATGAGGAGTTGGTGCAAATGCATTGTCTTGGATCTCAGAAATAAAATTCCAGTTCAGGGTTAAAGTTGTCAGGCGGTGAAGAGTTTGGGAGGTCCAGGAAGTAGTCAAGACCTTGATGATGTTATGGCTCAAATCTAAACGTGAGGAGTAACCAGGGAGTTTGAAAGGAGGGGAAGAGAGGTTTTGGTTGCTACAGGAGATGATATCGCTGGCACAAAGGCATGGAGAAGGGCAGGGAACGGCAGAGTGAAGGATGCCCAGGAGCAGAGGTAGAATCAGGGGTGAGATTTTTGAGGTCCAGGGGGTCCCTCTGGAGAGTGATGGGGGCATCCTGGTTCTGCCCGGGATGTCTGCTCAGAACAGAGAGGCACACATCAGCACCACACGAGTCTCCACAGGTTCACTGAAGGAGAGAGAAATAAAGTTAAGTCTGAGGTTAAGGTATGTTTTACTGTTTGCAAGGTGAGGAGGTGTGGGAGATGCAGTTTGGCTTGGTCAGGGCTTGGACACTATACTGCATTTTGTTCTGATTCACAAGCCTGTAATAAACCAATACAACACTGAATGTGCACTGTGTAACCTTTTTGGGAAAGGGTCTGTCACCTGCTTGAAAAATAAAAAAATAAGGCATTTTCAGTACAACATGTTTGAACCCACAAACCCACAAATGTAATAAACTCCTACAAATGTAACAGGCATTACCTTTGGTCACTCTCTTTTTGGTGGAGTATTGTTATTATGTTTGGAGGGATTATTATATTTATGGGGCCAACATGACTCTATTTACTTTATTTATTACCCATGTATATTTGAACCTGACCAGCTGCCTTTTTTGTTTTTTGAGTGAACATCTGTACTAAGAACACCTTTGTTGTGTGTTGGAAAGTAGTGCTTTGTTCAACTGCACTGTTAAGTTAATTATGTTTTATTTGCATGTATTTTTCATTAAGCAAATGAGACAATAGGATATTTTAAGTTGATTCTTTTATTTAATTAGTTTGTAATGTATTTGTTGTACTACATGATAATCAAAAATAATAAAAATAAGAAAATTATATTTGATAAATTTTGCCTAAAATTAATTATATTATTCTCACGACTAAAGATTTTCCTTCATCCTGCACCTTGAATACCACTTTCTGGATGAAACAGCCACATTTCTCCAAGGAAGGTCCTGACTGCTGAAAGCATGTGGTGGACACTGGAGTGATGAGAGGAGTTGGTGCTCTTCCTCCTCACTGACGTTATTCATCTCCTGCTCTGGACTGTTCCAGGGGGGTGACACATCCTCCACTTGGCTCGAGACGTCTTCAGGACTCTCTGAGAGATTGGAATGTGCAACTTTCCCGTCGCCATTGTCACTCTGCAAAACCTCCAAGACACAACTGGGGGAAGATGTGTCCCTTGTCTGACTCTCAATGCACTCAATCCGGTGGTCAAGCTCTATCCAGCAGTTCTCCTCCTGGGCCTCTTCTGGCTGAGCTGTTTGTTTGGGGATTGGTGGTGACTCACTGAAGATCTCTCCATCTTCACTTCCATGCAATCGTTCTCAGTGGATATATACCCTGTGCACAGTGAACTGGACTTGTTTTGTGTTTGAGGCATCTCCTTGACCTGGTTGACATCATTGGACATCTCTTGTGGGACCTCTTCAGAGCCATAGAAGACTATGTGGAGGAGTTTTCTTTCCAGGTTCAGAAACCCCATCCTGTCTCTGAATTCAGGGAACATAATTTCTGTAGGGTGTCACTGAATAGCCTCATCCAGATCAAACCCTTTCAGTGGGCCTGCGCAGTCACATGGCACCTCCTGTGTGTAGTTGTAATACTTCCTCTGGCATTCAAAATGCCCACCCATCCTCCATCTTGGAGAAGTACCTCCTGCTGAATATTCCTCTGTCCAGCAGTTTGTCCTGAGGTTGTTGTAGACTGAGAAGCTGGAGAAATAGGGTTTGCCAGACTTCCTGACTTCAGGTGTGCTAGTCCAAGATTGATGAGCTTCACTTTTAGAGGCTGATATTTGTGATTGACCAGCATTATGTTATCAAGTTTCAGGTCAGTGTGCAATGCCCAACTCTCTGAAGCATCCTTTACTGGGAAGTCTGGAAATTTTCTTGGATACCTTTGTGAATTTAATAGTCCTGGACATTATTGTCTAGATTATTACTATCCATGTTTTCCAGAATTTAGAAAATGGGAGCACTTGCCCATATACAGGAAAACATGCAGTCTACACAGAAAGATTACACATGGCCTGGAAATGACTAAATAGTGAAGGGACAAGTTTGAAGAGCATATAAGAAGAAATGACTTCTCGATTGCATTCTCCACTTTTTCCCACTTTTCTCTATGGAGGTGTCCCAGTTGTGTCCCTCTTGAAGACCCCGGGGAGGTCCTATAAGTCAACTGGTCACAGAAAAAACATCTGTGTTCCTTCATAAAGCTGGTGCTATAGGGAGAAAAGCAAGAGTTTCGCAAGCAATTTATTTGAATGTCATATTTTTCTACCAAGGTCATACAGCATATCTGATAGTATGAAGAAAAGGCAAGAAACATGACTTTTACTCTGACCTCTTGTTTATTCTGTGGTAATCTCACTTAGTCCTTAAACAATAGAAGCTAAACCATGAGCACATGTGTAAATATGAGAAGGCTGAGTGAGTCTTTAACAGTCTGTCTGTCTGTGTTCCGCACCGCTGCTCTGCATTCCCAAAGAAGCAGCTCTCACCTCTCATTTTACCTGCTCCAATACTTTTCAATCACCAAGAGGAACACCTGAAGAGATATATGTCTTTGTATACTACTTCTTTTTCATGGATCAGGCATTCAACTAGTGCATATTTAGTATTATTACTTTGACATGAAAATGAATTGTCTTGTCATTAGTACAGGCAGAGTATGTATTTGGTCAACATAATACTGCATTCTCATTTTCATGTAGATTTTCCTTGTCAGTAGTAGTCTGAATAACCTTAACCACTAATATTCCACTGAGGACAAGAAGCGCCAACCTTAACTTGAATATATCTGCTACACATCACTTAGAAGTAGGCTCCCTGTATTGTTTATTCAACTTGTAAAACACTGTCCAACTGCCCTTGATCTTGTTCGCTGAGCAGATGGGAGCCACTAAAAAAAAAAAAATTTTGAAAAAAAAAAAAAAAAACATAATATAGATGGAACATCTGTTTGTCACAGTTTCTGCAAAAGTGAGGCAGTTTACAAAATATTAACAGAATGAGCAGAATGAGAATGGTTCTGGATAATGGTTCATGGATTTTTTATTTATTTATTTTTATTAATTTGTTTGAGTTGACTGAAATTGGTCATTAATTACATTCCCACAGGAAACAATTTTACATACTTTATGGGTGTCATTCTGTGGTTTTTAGAGGTGAACATAGGTCATCTGTATAGAATGTCCAGATGTCTTAAACACTTCAAGGCTCCCACAACAGTGAACGTTTCTTTTTTTTTTTCGAATACAAAAAAAAAAAAAGGGTAAAAATGCATTAATTATTAGTAAATTATATGATTATAACATGTTATTTGGCTTAATTCATATTCAAGTTCATGTGCATCAAGGCTAATTAAAATGAATAAAATAGTTAGTAGTTAGTTTATATTATTTTTAAGACAAATGAAACGTGTTGGAATATACAATTAGACTGGGCAGAAATGGGAAGTAAGCACAAAAGTGCAGTAGCAGTAGGTTATAACGCGACATTAATCCAAAAACATAAGAGGGAGTCGTAAAGCGCGCGGGAGCTCACCTGTACTCGTCTGCTCCTCACTCCATCGCGCGTGCTTCATGTGCTTCTCCTACTCTGAAATCCTGTGAGTAAAAATCCCGCTTTTGGCTTGTTTCTTGTCTCCGGCTGTGAGCGCGCATCGCGGCGTGAGCAGGTGCACGCACCGACACACTTCTGCCAGTCTGGGGGAACTCCAAATGCTCAGAGCAGAGAGTGGAGTAAAGAGAGACGGAGAGAAAGAGAGAGAGAGAAAGAGAGAGAGAGAGAGAGAGAGGTGGAGATGAAGAGGAGGGAGGGGCATTCAGTCTTATTTAATTTCTGATGAGACAGTCAGACCTCATTTTGTCACAGATATAATGAACATGACAGTGGAAACAACTATAGCCCCCTGGTTATACGCACAAGTAGACCTCTGTATTTACAATGAAACGACGCTAATATTTGTAAATTAACAATAACTTTTCTAGTGTGGATCTGCCTGCCACTTGATTGTCTCCATGTTACTGCCTTGTCAATGCCTTCTTCTTTCAAGTGGACAAGCTCACCTCTCCACAGATCTGACCGAAACATGGCCTGATGGTGTGCCCTGCTTGTCTACATGGAGATCAGTAAATTTAATCCCATTCTGTACTGTGGTAATAACAGTAATAACATCTGTGAAGAAAAGTAGGCTGCGTACCCCTATACAGAAAAATTACAAAATGCACCTTTAACTGACTCCTCCATGTTTTGGATGGGTTCTAGACATTTTGGACTGAGACTTAGTTGTAATACAAAGGCTATAGCCTGTTTATTTTTTCCAATAAGCACCTTTCTGCTTTGTGTGGTGGTTTTTTAATAAATCATGAATACTTTTACTTATTTATCCAGACTTGCAACTGACTCAAAAAGTCACATAATAACTTGTGACTGTAAAAAAAAAAACGACTTAAACAGGACAGAAACAAATTAAAAGGTAACCAAAACAAACAAGGACACTGGAACATATATCAAATACAGCTGAGTTATATAATGTTTTGGACCCTTCCCTCACTTAAGACAGCTCATGTTTTAGGATATTCTCTTGCCAGGGGCAGAATATTCATAAGATGTTAAGCCCCACAAGAGGTTTATATTATAATCCCTGGTCTTTTTCAGAAAATACTGGGGTCCATTTGTAATGTGGGATTTTGGCCCTTCCCATATCTCTCATGTAAACGGGTTTACTGTAGTGTGGGTTTGAAGCATGACATGTTCAAAGTGTTTTTCTAATCAGTCTGCTAAGGTTTGTGCTTCGAGCTCTGCAGGCGGCTGCTTTGGCCTGGATCAGTTTAGGCTGCAGGATATAAACAAATCACTCTTTTTATGGATGTAAAAGAGTTTAATTATGAAGATTAGGAGGACAAGATGGTTCAGTTACATAAAGCTAAAATGTGGAACTATTTCAAATGGTAAAAATAACCTAATCACTGTAAACATGTAATCTACACAAGATAAAATGTCTTGAATTTGACTTATTTCATTGAAGACTATAACATTTTTTTTCTTTCTGTAAAATTATAGCCAGTGCTTGAAGATTTAATTTATTTAACTTTTGCTCAAAAGAAGAAACTGCATTGAAAATTTTAGACCAGTTGACAACTTCCTGTATAAAACATGTAACAAATTTAGACCTATACAAACATGACAGATCCAACAAAGCTCAAAGCTAAATCCATATGCCAATGTTATTTTAGATATGCCTTTTCTGCACAGACAAAACCTCGAGACAGTTTAGCTTAGCTTTGACCCAGGGGCGCTACAGATGGAGACACAACCAAGTTCTAAGAAAGTTGGCCAGGCTGCTTGAAACATGTTGAACTGCCGTAAACATCACCAGAAGGATCCAGAGCCAGTGTATTCAGTTTGTGAAATCAGAGCAGAGGCAACAACACAAAGCCTCACCAGGACAGGAAGGCATGCTCTGGACTTTCCCCCAGAGATCATGCAGACAACACTCAGACCAGATGGTGTATTGTGGTCCCAATGCAACAAAAGAGTTCATGGGGAAGTTTACAATCCGTCTCCTTAGTGATGCTGGGATGATGGGAGTAAGGTTAACTGTTAACTAGCATTATTTCATCTCTGCACTGTTCCTCCTCATGACCTCTTCTGTATACCTGAGATATATTTCTGTATTTTATTGGAACATGTACTTATACATTTATATAATTATGCCTTATCTGACACCAGTCTCTTGCTATTTTTGTACTTTGTAATTTATTATTACCATTTATATTTTGCTCTGTGTTATTATTATATTGTGATGTGTGAGCTGCTGTGTCTAAATAATTTCTCTCATTAAAAAAGGAAAGAAAAGAGGAAGCCACTGTCTGTTTGAATGTTCATGTATGTTAGCATTTTTGTGAAGAAGGAATAATATCACCTGCATATCCAAAGTGTCATCACCTCTACTTGACAAAATACAATAAGTACTGTATTTCATAGGCAGTCTACATTAGAATGTGGTCTTATACTCAATTAGCCTTATTCATCAACTGGTTTCACTTCGTAGAAACCGTCTAACCTTGCAGCATTAGAATTTGTTTGCTCGACTGTAGGCACTTTTTTTTATTTAACCAATCACTGCTATTTGGTCATGATTTATGTAATGCGCCACTAACGGGGCTAACTGGTATATTAAGATTTTCCCAAATCCCGTAGGAAGAAGGGCAATAACATCTTTCCCCTTGATAAAATTCACCAAACGTTCTCTTTGTTCCAGCTTTAAATCCTCGGTCTTGGGAATCGTTGCCAACACAGAATGCATGGCTCTTCGCTGATTGACCGGACTCGCACTTCCGGCGTTCTTGCAAACCGTCTCGTATATTCCGATTCCTGACTTAGTCACTGGAGAGAAATGAAATTGAGCGGAAGCACTAGGTGACGCCAGCCTGGCTAATACTCAATACTCAAATGGAGAGCAATAAACTATTATTATTTTCATGAGTGAGAAAATTCCACAAATATTGAATCTGGTCATTTATATTAGTAAACACACTGCTGAACTTAGTACAATAGAAATTTACACATACACTACAGTGGTTTTGTCTCTCCGCCATTTCACTTCCTGTTATGCAAAATTTAGAGGACCCTTTCCCATTGAAAAGATATCCTTTATCATCATTGTAAAACCCAAGGATAAGTTACATCATCGGCCTAATCGACCATGTAACACACTTTTTTCTACACCTATTAGAACTGGTATTGCACAATATACAATTTGTCATTTTACACATTTTTCTTGTGCTGTCTTGTTCTGTCTTGTCGATCCACCGCTTGACCAGAGGCTCAAATAGAAAAAGGTCAGAAAATCTATCTCATGTGATTTTGAGGGATGAGTCCATTTCATTATCTTAAAGGGGAGTGCAAATGAGGTGCTGCTGTAATCCCCATGTTAGTCTAATGACTGGCCTCATAATGACAGTGTTCCCACACGGGATGACAACCAAACACACCCAGGTGTTTCCATGGAGACGCACCGGAGGACTAGCCCCTGAGGGTCTGCTGCTCTACTATGGTCTCACACACACACACACACACACACACACACATACACACGCACACACACACACACACACACACACACACACACACACACACACACACACACACACACACATGCACACACACACACACACACACACACACACACACACACACACACACACACACACACACACACACATACACATACACACACACACACACACACACACACACACACACACATATACACATGCACCACACACATACACACACACACACACACACACACACAGACACACACACACACACACACACACATATACACATGCACCACACACACACACACACACACACACACACACACACACACACACACACACACACACACACACACACACACACACACACACACACACACACACACACACACACCTAATTGTTGTTGTTGTTTTCATACACAAAATATTGGTGCAATATCACATCCAGAAACAATGTATCTAAATGAACCAAAGGAAAACAACAGCCAATGAGCTTCTACTTTTATTGATACATTTTGTTTTCAAGTCAGTATCACACTCTCACAAAATAACAAATATATAAAATCTATTCAGTAGAAGATTAAGGGGCAGAGTAAATAGCAGTCGTACCACCTCAGATTTAAGCACACTTGTTATGTAATGTTAATCAATATATTGAACTGTTACTGTGTGTGTGTGTGTGTGTGTGTGTGTGTCGCCACAACTGCAAAAATAAGTTCCAGGGTTAGAGACACTATTTTTCTGAAAAGAAAGCTAAGTGAATTCTGTTAGGTAACTGCCCAAAGTGTTTCTTGAATGTATTTAAAATGTGCCATTGTTTGTGCATGAAGAATTCATTTACCACAACACACATGATGTAAAAGCCTTTGTGTACTGCATGTTTCACTCTGCCTGGAGCCATAATGCATATGTACCGTATACACAACCACATTAGTCTGTGTCAATGTGGCTTTTTTCAAATATCAGGCTCTAAATAAAATATACAGCACAAGGCCATTTATGTTTTCAGTGTAAAAACTTACTGCCGGAGGAATAGAAAGCTTCTCTCATTGTTGCGGTGGAAGAAAGACCCAACTCAAATTGAACTTAATGTAGCGTGTAGTTTCATATAAAATACTATAAAGCTGTGAAGTTATTTATTTAATAACAACCTGAAAACTAATTTACATACCTTCACTTACCTGTCTTCTTGTCTGTTTATTTTGTATTTTCATTGTTATTGATACTTTGCAGTGACAGCACGCTGGGGGTATTCTACACATATGTGCATTGGCAAAATGTTCATCATTTACCATGGAGACACAATGCACACATTAGCAAACACTGCCAAATAAGTTTTAAGATCACCTGTAAAAATATAAAATCCATTTAATCAACACATTTTCAGGAGCCTGTGATCAATACGGATGTTCATGGTCCTGTTAAGGAGTTTGATTGTCTACAAAAAGGTGATAGTGAATGCTATTTTGTGACAGTAATCATTGTTGAGAGGGACTTGGTTTGGCAGCACAAATCATCTCTCCTGTTTAAAGTTTCAACTAAATAAATTCTTTGTCAAATGTCAAATGTAATATAAATGTAGCCTATTTAAACAGGCATAATGTTATGAACACAAGTAACTG